GCTCGCTTAAATCCAATTGGAGTTCAAATTACGCATAGTCCTTTGCACTTTCTTGCATACAAGTTCAATTGACCCAATTTCCAGTTTGCAAGTTTTCATAGTTAAGTTGCAAGCCTTTGCTTGTTTGGATAGGATTCAGATGGATCGCTTTCTTATCCTTCAAGTCAAATTCATTATAATTCCTCTATTGAGAAATCATCTGAATACATGTTGAGTCTTTGATATTTTTGTTCAAATCTTCTTATCATCTTGAGTTCAATTCCTTATAGTATAACTTTAGTTGATTGCTTAAAAGTTTCAAGTATAAGTAATTGTTCAAATTTGAATCCGTCTTCATCAAGTTCAAGTGTCCCCTTCACTTTCAGCGAGCTCCTGTTGGTGCTTCCAATCAAAAATGCCGTGACTTCCAACTCGATAGGAAGGGGCGACGTCGGAGGGAGGCGGAAGAGCTGAAGGGTGCGGCTAGGGCTTGAGGAGTTCGGCTTCTGATCGGAAGAGGGAGGAAGAGGTTCGGCCGGAGCTGGCGTCAGGTATGTATGCAGATCTCTCTCTCTCTCTCAGCCGACGGGTATGGGAGGATCGGAAGAGGTGGAGTTCGGTCGGGTGAGAGGATCGGAGACTGGGTTGACGTCGGGGGGAGAGAAGCTTGCGGGATTGTGGAAGCAGAGGTTGGAGAGGGAAATCGGGAGAGTCGGGTTCGGTCGGAGCAGAGGTTTCGTATGGGGAGAGTGTCGAAAGGAACCGAGAGTTCTACTTCGTTTGCTCGATATTTAAAGGCGAGAATGGGAGTGGGATCGAGGTTATCGTTGCAGGATTCGCGCAGGATTTGTGCGAGGAGACGCGAATCAGCTCTGCCAGCGCCGAACAACTGACATTTCAGCGAGTTTTGAGCGGGATTTCTGGATCCAACGGAGCAGAGATATGATTTGGTATTATACATTGGTCAACACTAGCATAATGGCCATTATTTCCATCTCATAGATTGACTTCAACTTGGCTCTAGCTATCAACATCTGGTTGAAGTAGGCGATGGGTTGATGGCTCTGCATGAATACTGCTCCCAATCCATACCCTGAGGCTTCTGTCTCAACTATGAAGACTTGAGTGAATTTTGGTTGTGCCAAGACATGCACGGTGGTCATAGCCTTCTTCAATCTCTCAAAAGCTGTTGTGGCTGCCTCCCCCCCACAAGAAAGCATCCTTTTTCAATTGTTCTGTCAGTGGCCATACTATGGTGCTATAGCCCTTCATGAAACTCCTATAGTAGCCAATCAGCCCTAGAAATCCCCTCAGCTCCCTGAGATTCTTGGGCAATGGCCATCTCAACATAGCCTCAAGTTTGGCTTGATCCACAGCTACGCCCTTCTGAGAGACTAAATGTTTCAAGTACTCCACACTGGCTTGGGCAAAACAACATTTCCCTCAACGGATGCTCCTTTAACACCTCTAAAACCTTCCTCAAGTGCTCCCAATGCTCCCCATTTGACCTGCTATAAATCAGATTATCATAAAAAAATACCAGCAAAAATCGCCTGGGAGAGGTTTAGAAAACCTTGTTCACGAGGGATTAGAAAGTGGCTGGGGCATTAGTGAGGCCAAAATGCATCACTATGAACTCATAATGCCCCTCATGAGTTCTAAAAGCAGTCTTCGGCACATCCTTCCTTTTCATTCTGATATGATGGTACCCTGACTTCAGATTTATCTTGGTGAAGATAGCTGCCCCACTCAGCTCATCCAATATCTCATCTATCAATGAGATAAGAAACTTGTCTAGCACAATTTATCTATTCACCGTCATGTAAACCACGCAGAACCTCCAACTTCCATCCTTTTTCTTAAACATTAACATTAGGCTAGGGAAAAGGACTACATTGGGCCTAATAATCCCTTCTTCCAGCTTCTTTTTGATCAACTTCTCAATTTCATCCTTTTGAAATTGAGGATAGTGGTAGAGCATGATACTGATGGGCGACACACCTTCCCTTAAGGTGATAGCGTACTCCTGCTCCCTTGGTGGTGGAAATTCTTGAGGTGGCTGAAAATCCTCATTGAATTTTTGAATCAATAGTTGTACTAAAAGAAGGATGTCCCCACCCTGCTTCAATATGATCCCCTCTAGCCTCTATGGCTCTACTAGATAACCTTCCCCCACCTCCTGTATGCTCCTCACCATGATTTTAAGTGATACCATGGCTTTGGAGAGCCCTGCATCTCCCTTGATCACTACCCTTCTCACTTCCACTGCCACCTTTATTGTCAATGCTCCCCAATTGACCTTGGTGTTCCCCAAGATCTATAGCCTCTTCCTCCCCAGGATAAAGTGCTCCCTAACTCTAATGGGAGAAAATTCTCCCTCACTTGGACCCCTGTATGGTCAGCACTACTCCCCGATATATCTCCTGGCATGTCTCCACCTTTCATGTACCCATCTTCACTCCATAACTTTATATCCACCAATGTCAACCCCAATTGGTCCACGACCTGGTTGGAGATGAAATTGTGGGTAACCCCACTGTCAATTAACACCGTCATATTCATGTCTGCTATTTCCCGCTTCATCTTCATGGTATGACTTGGAGTGAATCCTACCACTGAGTTCAAGGAGACCTCTATCATGTCAAGATGCAGCTTGTCCTCCTCTCCCCTGTTTCACTTTCACCTCCCTCCTTAGTTTCCTTGTTATCACAGATGGTAAGAAACTGAAGAGTTTGTTTTCAGCACACTTGCCCTTGACTATATTTCTCATTATATCTGAAGCATAATCTATTCGCTCTCTTCTCCTACATCTCCTGCTCAGTCAGTCTTTTGAAGTTCCCCCCACTTCCTCCTCCCACTTGCTTCTCCCTTGGGTTCTCACGAATGTTGTCCAATACATGCCCCTTGGGTGCTAAAAGAGTGGTAATCATCCTATAAGAGCTACTTGAACTGCTGCCTTTAGCTCCCCTCTCCTGGTACTTCTAATCTTCTAGCAGTTGTGTTAGCTTCATTGCCTCTCCCAAGTCATGAGGTCTCATGATCCTCACTGCTAGAGCTGTCAATAATGGACCCGACCCGAACTCGACCCGAAAATTTTGGGTTAGGGTTGACCCGAATCCAAAACGGGTCGAGTTCGGGTTGACCCGGAAACCCGGGAATGACCCGATTTGACCCGGAGCAGTCCCGCGTCAGCCCCGCCCCGCGTCACGCCAGCCTCGCGTCAGCCCCGCCCC